GCGAGTTTTCTGATTCTAGGCTGTTGTCAATTTATACAAGTGTGTTTATTATTTCCTGTTAAATTAAAAATGTATTGAAGTTACGGGAAAGTTCCAGAATAAATTGCTATTTACCCCCAGAACATTTGCCTTTTAATTGCATGGACTTGTTCTGCATTTGAAAGACGACCTACCACAGAACACATTTTACATAACCAGCAGAAAACATCTTCTTTTTATTTTTTCGGTCTTTTTCATGCGATTTTAAACTAACACAGTTTAATTAAAAAAACACTTTTCTTTTTTTAATAAGTTGATATCTATAACATGATGTAGGATCTCTAATTATCTTGACCATTGATCTATTTGCCACAACCCCAGGGACGTCTTAAGGTATGGACCCAGAGCCTCGACCTCAATTAAGACCTCGTCTCGTTCTCGATTCAGCCTTAATCAAGTCATCATTCGAACCATTTTAGTGGTCAAATATTATTTCCAGTTGTATTTTCTAAAAAACTGCGAATTTCAGACTATATGTCAACTGGAAACAGTGTCAGGACCCTTTATGGGATGATTGTCGTCCATGTATAGTTCTAGGCCACCCGTAACGCCCCTTGGGGTTCGAACTTTGCAAAATCCGTTCTTAGCTGACGTCTACTCCATGAAGGGAACCTACTTACCAAATTTCAAGTCTGTAGGTTTAATAGTTCCGGAGATATCGTGATTAGTCAGTGAGTGAGTCGCCTTTTCTCTCCTTTATATATATATATATATATATATATATATATATATATATATATATATATATATATATATATATATATATATATAACTCATAATGCTTTTTAATATTATTGTTTCTTAGAAATTTAGACAATATATCGCACAAAACGATACTGAAGTTAAAATTATTTGTTATTGTTTAAATAAATCACATGAGACTAAATTGATTACATTAATTTGTTATGCAATTTTTTTTTCAATTTCTGAAACATTCTTTTTGTGACATTGTATTCGATTTTATTATTAAAATCTGTGATATAGCTTTATTAGATACGGAATTTATAAATATTTCTTTTGAACTTTTCTGCCTTCATTCCTATTTTACCCATTTGAAATTTGTTTATATATATCCTTATCAACAAATTGATGATCGTACTATTACATACTTCAAATGATGCTTTGAAATTCGTCACACAATTTTTCGTATCGCTTAGCTTCACCGCTATTTCGAAACGAAAAGTTATCTACACGAGGAAATCCTTTCATCATGAGCTTTTGCATTGAGACAAACGGGGAGAAAGATTTACGTGTTTACCGAATTTTGAAAGCGAGAATTTCTTTTTCCTTGAAAACCGGATTTTGGAAATTTTTGTGATAATTAGAATTTATTTCTTTTCAATAGATTCATTTGGTGTACTTTTTTCTGAAATCTAAGTATAATTATCTTGGGTAATTATATAATTTCTTTAATAGTTTCATAGTTTCAATATACAGAGTAGAATTGAGATTACATTAAAATTTAGTTCATATATTAATTATTTTTTTACTTGCTTTAATATGACTCTTCTCACTTTTCTAATATCATTAATTTATTAACCAACTGGTGTAAATATTTTTTAAAAAACTAAACACTTCAATTTTTTCTTCTTGGATATTTACATTATTTAAAAACTAAATATAAAATAATATTGATATAATTAAATATCATTTTAATATAAACAACTTTAGTTTTAGTTCATGAAATAGGAAAAAAATACAATCGAATAAAGTGTACTCCGTGAATGTTCCATTACAAATGCAACAAGAAGGAGTTTCCATAAAATTGCACACATTTCAGGGTAGGCGCACTTTATCAAATACAAATGACATGGAATGTACAGCTCTCCGGCTCACTCTCAGTAGGATATAAGGAAAGGAACCTTCTAAATGGGTAATATCCATGTCATTAATATCCCAGGGAAATCAATGCGGCAATTCTTATTATTTCAGAGGGCATGTATAATATTTGAAAATGTCAGGTGGTCACCAATGGAGACAGATCCAGAAGATAGACAATTTTACGAGTAATATGGTGATTGGACTGAGAAGGGTTGGTTGGTCCCTTCACCTAAACACACATGGTGTGGAAAGACAAAACACGAGACTTAGACAAAGTGGTTACAATGAAGAAATATGGCAAGTTTGAAGACCGACAAGTGGAATGGTCAGGCAAGCCACTTCTACCGCTAATTTGCAGCATGTATAGGACATAATTGACGCGTTCCCATATAGATCCGAACCATTACCCGTCGAATGATTACTATTGACCTGCACTCTTGGAGTCCGTTAAGTATATCATTTATCTACATTACAGACCCTTTATAATGGTGCCGGGCTAGAGCGATGCGGACAAAAGAATGGCTCTGTATATAGTGTTAGAATACGCACAGTTAGTACACAGTATATAGTGTTCTCATACGAGAAGTCATGTTTCTGTTTGTTCATTGATAGTCGCCTTGTGCGAATGTGTCGTTAACAATAGGCAAGTCTAATCTGGCCGCAACTGAGAAAATACTCTGCCGAACTTCGCATTCTAGTCGCTTCTTTGTGGTGTTGCAACTCCATGGTGTCGCGTAGTGAACATTGAAATTTTTTTTTAATAAATTTTTACAAATTTATTTCGTATTGAATAATACTGAGGTTTGATTTTTGTAAAAAATACTCTTCTTAAAATAATGCTGTACTATTTCTCTAATTTTTTTCCGAAAATTGTTGTTTTCATAACATTACATCATTTGTTTCAAAACAAGTAATTTTAGTGAAAACGCTTAAAACTCTTTGAAATATTTGTTATTTTTCGTGTATTTTTGATTTGTTTAGTAAATTGTAATAAATCAAAATTTAAGAAATTAATCTAAATGCAGTGTGTGTGTGTGAACACATTAATCTATCGATTTTAGAAATAATAAGTTAAGAAAATTGTGACGCAATAATTCTTGCGTTTTTGTGAGATGCGAAGCAATTCATGGACATGGAAAATAGAAAAAAGAAACAAGAAACAAGCCTTTTATATACTGTAGTCGCATATGATGTGTAATATCTGACATGTTGTCATAGTAAATACGCAATAGTAACTTATATCCTGAAAAAAATGAATCGGGTATGATTGGAAATAATTTTCTATCGAATATCTATATCTTTAACGAAAATTTTATTTAATTATATAAAACAAGGAGTAATTCAATTTTTTATCAAAAATAATTATTCTTGTTCCATTTGGTGAGGGGAGCGGAGATAATAGACTTATGATAACTAAAATATGACACAAATACTTGTGATTTTAAAGTATTTAAAAACCGTTGAAAAACAGCATCAATAACAGCACCACTGTTAGTTGTCGAAACATTTTGATTTGTGCCCATTTTGAGCTTGAGTACATCATTCAAAAAGCTATAAGTGGCTCAGTTTTTGGCAAACTGATGTTAAAATTAAAATCACGACTCAAAATCATGGGAAGCGAGTGATAGTTTTTTGTTTCTAAAGAGCAGAACCATCTTCGGTACATTCCTTTAAGACCCGAATTATTTTTATCTTTAAATATTAAATTCTTCTGGTTATTAATACTATATGGACCCCAATGACACTGGGGAAAATACTAAAAAAATTCCCACTCTCCCCCCTCCGGAACCAAATTGTTACGTTAATCGGGGTTCGATGATTTTATGCAAAACAGTCTCAAAGAAAAATAACAGCTCTTTAAGAACGATGTGAATTTATTATCGGAAATCCAGTTCTTTAAATACAGGATTCCACAGCAATATTCACAGAGTAAATCTCCGAAGGTCTTCACACCTTCAACAGCAATCAAACACAATTATCAGTGTTTAAAATACACGTATGTAAAAGATTATTCACAAGCACAACCGAGCTAATCGGTAATCAAAACAATGCTCACTAATCGTGGGTTGAATCAAGACTGACTCGTTGCGGCTAGCACCGCTCTATTTATAGACCCGTTGGAAACTTCCAGAAAAGTCCACACGCGTCACAGAGCGTGAAATTAGTAGAGAAATCCACTAATTTCTAGAAGAATCCAGAGGGTCCTGAACTCGCCAATGTCGCCAAAATAGTCGTCAAATTGGCTGCAAACTTGGTCGTCAAATATGATGCCAACTTAGCTCTATTGCCAAAATCTCGCCAAGTTCGCACTGACGTCACTTCCTGTTACCTATTTCCGTCCCTTTTTACGAAATCACTCCGACAAATATCCAGCAACCGATAGGAAAGATGTTAGACATAAAAAATAAACTATTTTCAATATTCTCCCTAATAAAATACTACAAATTACCTGCAAAGTTTTCGAAATTTAAAATGATGTATTTATTAATCAAAGTTAGAATTATTAATTCATATAACAGTAATAGTAAAACAATAGAAATGCGTGTTTTCTTACGTAAGATGTCGATATTTAAAGTCAAGTTTTCCGACCTATCTTGGATTTCTGCCAAGCAATAAAAATTGCCTTTGAAAAAGCTGGTCGGATTTCTCAAGAGGAATCCCTCGGTAGGATCATATTTTAGGTCAGAGTTTAATCCGATCTTTTCAGCAGTTGGTTTTCTCACCTTCCACAAAGTCACATTGGTGTTTGAAATGGTTGGCAAGCATGGGATAACGGAACGAGTTCCTTCATGAAGCGTCAAAAATGGAAAATAATGTAGAGGAAGTAACAGATGGGAATCATCTAAAAAACGAGTAATATAAAAATTAAGTCAATTCCTATTTAGGTCAATAAAGAAAAATTTTATTTTAGTTACTTTTTATTAAATAATTACAGTTAATATAAATATGTATATAAATATGACAGAATCACAATATTAAGTTGCAAAACACAAAGCTATTTTTCTTGCAATTTTCCATTTTCCTTTCTATATATATTGTTGGACTATTATTTTTGTTTGTTACTATTTATTCATTAATTAAATTTAATTTTTCAAATAAAATAGTATAGTAAAAAGAAAACGCATTCTCAAAAATAAGGCCATCCCAGGTGGGATTTGAACCCACGACCTTTGGATTAAAAGTTCAACGCGCAAATCCATTGCGCTCCAGGGGCGCAATGAGCGATTTTCCTTTTTATATATGGTGTTGGCTTATTATTTTTGTTTTTTTTTATTCATTAATTAAATTTATTTAACGAATTAATATTTGAAAAAACTGTATTACATCAAGTGTCAACCCTACAAGTTTAAAAAAATGTATTTGAGCTTATGTGGAGGAATAAAAAGTATTTTGTTAACGATTGAAAATATGAAAAGATATCTATTATATATTATAAATGCGAAAGTTTGTGAGGATGTTTGGGGGTCTTTCACACAAAAACAACTGAATGGATTTTAAAGAAACTTTACAGTAATATAGCTTATACATCAGAATAACACATAGGCTATAATTTATAAAGATATTGTATGAAGTGTCCAAAATAAAACGATATTTGTTAAGTAAGTAGGAAAAAATTCTGCCATCTGCAAGCAATTCTGGCGTGCGCTGCAAAAAAGCCCACCACAGCATATATCTTATCTTTTGTTTGTGAAAAATCCTTTTTGTTTTTTGGCTAAACAAGGTGCTCGTTTCTAATTAATTCCTGTGATCAGCATAATGCCTTTTTTTTTTATTTCAGAATAAAACAAAGTTTTGAAGGGAGAGGTTGTTATAAATCTATCTTTATTTTAATGTTTTTTTTTATGATTTTATTATGCACATTTGTTAGTAAGAAATTGATCTTTCTTCAAAATAAATGCTTTTATCAGTTCTGGTACTTAACGTAAATAAACTTTCTCTTTCACACTGCATCATTTGGACAAATTTTCAAATTTTGCTTGTGGTTAGTAGTTAATTATAACGCTATAATTTGAATTGAATAGGCAGATATTGCATTTTTAAGTATAAAAATAATTAAAGCTACTGTACTGTATTTTTTGGAACGAGTGAATATTAACGTCGCACTGTTCAGCTACATGAGGGCTTTTGGCAACGGATCACGTAATTTTGAACCATGGTCAAGTGACGTGGACAACACCTGAGCTGGCACCCCCTTCTCCTAACTACCACACCACACCAACTTAGAAGGAATATTCTACCAATACTTAGCAGGAATATTCTTTGAAATCCACTCTTCCAAGATATATGGCAGCACGGGTTCTATGATGAGTATTTTAGCGGGGAAGGCGAATAGTTTTGTAGCAGATATTGCGTTTTCAGCGGATTGCAAAGATTATTATTTTTGTCCCGAAAAAATAGTTTATGTCCAAATTTAAGTGTCTTATGTGTTTGTAGTTAATGAAGACCTTAGAAAAAGATTTGACGACTTATTTTAAGTGTGTGTGAACGGTGTACATAATTAATTTTACACAGTGGGATATCTTTAATTAATTTATTAGCTCTAACGGATTAAATTTCCCAAAGAGGAGTATTTCGTTTATGTATATCCCTTAATTTTCAATGCAGTGACCCCAAAAAAATATTGCATGAAAAAAACCGCTGTAAATCATAATGTGGTAGATAAAGCATTAACGTGCATCTTACCCCTACACGGCAGGTCTTACAAAGCTCTAATAAAGCTCGAGCTATGAAAGTAGCTAGACATTTGCCAACTTGACACTATCATTAACATTTCGCTATGTTTTTCATTGAATCGCCATTATATTTTAAGAATCGGTGTTGCTTGAGAATATTACAATTTTAAAATAAAATAAATACAACAGAAAGTAATATTAATGTATTATACTTTCAGATATAAATTATTTACACAATTTTAAGCGTTCATTACACAAAACTTTTAACAATGTGTTACTTTTGCTGAGCAGAGATCAGCTTATGGGGGGATTTTCAAAAACCGACCCTGAAGAGTGTTACGGGGAGTTATAAATAATAAAAAATTCTTTTTATCAACTATTAGATCTACAGACTTAAAATTTAACAAAGGTGGGTTTTTTTTTCTTTCTTTGTTTTTTCAGCTGAGATATGCAAAAAGCTTTTTTTGTTTAATTTGAAATTCACGTAAAATTAACTCATTAAAAACTTCTTTATCCTTCAATCTGTGTTGTTTAATTTTTCAGTTCACCCGTGCGAAGAACGGGTATACCAGCTAGTATATATATATATATGTAACGTATTGTCCGAGTGGTATATTTTGTCGAGTGTTAGTAGGTTTTCATTAAAACAACATCTTCTGGGGACGTTCATCTTCTTTATTGTGAAGCACACATCAAAATCTTAGGACAAAATTGCGGTACATTTTCACGTTGATGATACAAACTTGCGACGATTATAAAGCAAAGCGGACAAAAGACAAGCTGAAGCGATATCTTAGAGGACACAACACAAAGACAAAGAGAGCGATTACACAAGATTTTTGCTTTTATACCGGCAGTGGCAAGCGCGTGATTATTATGTAATAGTAGTTCTGATTAAATAGAATGGGCGGGACAGGGATTTCGGACTAGTCGATTACGATTATTACGATTAAGATTACAGTGTTAGCTTTAAACCAACGAATTAAAGTTTGTTTGAATAAAAAGAGTTAACAAAAAAGGATGCTAGAGAGAATTATACATATATATATATATATATATATATATATATATATATATATATATATATATATATATATATATATATATATATATACAAGGAGAGTGTGAACTGATGGTAGAAATTGAATAAAAGGACTTATTAATTAAAAAATTATACCTTTTTAGATTAGAAATAAGGTGTTGACAGTCGATACTTAGAACATAGTTTATAAAGGGTGTTTTTTTTAGAGGTATAGAACTTTAAATTGCAATAAAACAACGATGTATTATTCGATTGACATGAATTTTTTTTATTCGAAAGATAATCTTGTGGCATTACATTTTAAATATGATTTCTGGCATATGACTGCCACGGCTGGCTGGGATGTAGTCCAATCTGGACGTCCAATTTTCGATGACTTTTTCCAACATTTGTGGCCGTATATCGGCAATAACACGGCGAATGTTGTCTTCCAAATGGTCAAGCGTTTGTGGCTTATCCGCATAGACCAATGACTTTACATAGCCCCACAGAAAATAGTCTAGCGGTGTTAAATCACAAGATCTTGGTAGCCAATTCACAGGTCCAAAACGTGAAATTAGGCGGTCACCAAACGTGTCTTTCAATAAATCGATTGTGGCACGAGCTGTATGACATGTTGCGCCGTCTTGTTGGAACCACAGCTCCTGGACATCATGATTGTTCAATTCAGGAATGAAAAAGTTAGTAATCATGGCTCTATACCGATCACCATTGACTGTAAAGTTGTGGCCTTCATCGTTTTTGAAGAAGGATTCCACCAGCCCATAAAGCGCACCAAACAGTCAGTTTTTCTGGATGTAACGGTGTTTCGACATACACTTGTGGATTAGCTTCACTCCAAATGCGGCAGTTTTGTTTGTTGACGTAGTCATTCAACCTGAAGTGCGCTTCATCGCTAAACAAAATTCGCTTATGAAAATCGGGAACAACGGCAATCTCGTTTTGGGCCCATTCGACGAATCTACGCCTTGCTTGATGATCGTTTTGATGAATTGCCAAACCAAACTGAGAATAAATCACTTGACAGCTGTTAAATCAGTCGCCATCTTGGAAAGTAATGCCAACTTAAACTTCTATACCTGGAAAAAAAAACACTCTTTATATATACCAGAGTTTCTTTCTCAACTATAATTAGCCGGAAACGATTGTGCTTTTTATAAGGCAATATTTTATTCATGAAAAGTTCAACTGAGTTTGTATTGATTGCTTGTTCATAAAACACGAGGTAACGGGAGTTGGATTCTTGAATCACGGTCAAGTAACAAGAACGATATCTGAATTTGCACTTCACTCTCCAAGCTTCCAGACCTCACCTACGTGAGGACTTTGAGACTCGACATATTTAACAAGTTTCGACCCCATTAGGGATTAGTCTTTTTTGGTATCAGGACACATACTCGTGGCTCCATTGTAACAACGCCAGGCACGAGCTAGCGACCAAGGTCCCATAGCTACTGTGGTCACAATCAATTTGTATGGAGATAGATAAGAAGAAAAAATATATTTTTATTTTAATTTTAGAAGACTATGATTTTAATGTTATGCATTCTATGGTGTAATGCTTAAGTCGACTGAAAGTCAACTAAATGTCGTATATTTTAATTTCAGTTTCAAAATTAAAATCAATAGGAAGAATGAATGTGATTCGAAGCAGGAGCAGAACCTTACAGATGTGTGGACTTTCAAAACTCCTTTTGTCAATTTTTCCTCATATGAAACAAAAAAAATATTTCTAGAGACAGCTTCAATTGAAATTGAAGGGATTCGGATCACTAAAAAACTTGACATTTAGTTAACTCAAGAAAAAATAGTTATAAGTATTGAGATTTCAGCTCAGTTATCGTTCCCGGCACTTACGCAGGCACAATTTAAAACAACAAGATCTGTTGACAACTACGTGTACAGCTGTAAAAACAAATTAACTTCACAAAATGTAATAAATTTGCGTTGATTTTTTCACTCTTCCTAATTATTTAATGAATTTCTATTTATCCCTTACATTGCATTAACAATTAAGAACCCGTTGTTTAAATAGTCTGTTGCTCTTCCTTAATTTATTCTCATGTCAATTGCTATTTATGATTGGGATTTATTGATTGATTGATTATTAACCTTGTATTGAAAAGCTGCATGAAGGCAATTAGCAACGGACATCGGAATTTTGAAGCACGGTCAAGCAATCAGGACGACACCTGAGATGCTCTCTCCACAAACTGCCACACCACGCTAATGTGAAGATTTTGAGCCCTGATAGATTTAATGCACATCAGCTCCTCTGCAAGGAGGGTCTTAAGTCGTTCTGGGATTTTGCTGGCTGGGTGGCGTTGTTGGTTTGTCGCTGCCCTTCTGTACCCAAGGTTATGGGTTCGACAACGTCCCAAGTCGGTGGAGTTTCATGATGCAGAAAATCGACAGCAGCCATGTCGTATGATTATGTGGCATGTAAAAGATTCATTGAGTACCTGTTTGGCTTGGATGCTCTCGGCAAAATTAAATTCC